GATCTTAATTTTACGGATTGCGAAAAAGTTTAGGAGTTTGGTTGGCAGAAATTAAACCAAGACAACAGTGCTAGTGTTCGCAATAAGCTAATAGAATCCTTGGCTTCTTTCAAGAAGCATAAATAATAGGAGTCCTCGGGTTTGTTCTTCAACTCTTTACACCCTTGGTTAGGCCTCTTTTAGATTATGCTGCCAGTTTGGTCACCGTTTTACAGAATGGATATAAATTCTCTGGAAAATGTACAAAGGAGGATGACAAATTATCCTTTTATCAGAAAACCTTTTCCCATAGATAGACTAAGGGCCCTGAATCTGCACTCTCTAGAAAGCGTAGAATTTGGGGGGGGTTGATTTAGGTGTATAAAGGAAGACAGGAAAAAAATAAAGGGGATGTAAATAGGTCTGAAAAAAACTAGCCTAACAGGAATCGCAGCAATGGTTTTAAGTTGGGAAAAATTTAGATTCAGGAAGGATATAGGGAAAATACTGGTTTGGAATAGAGTTTTGGGAGTGGAACAAACTCCCAAGTACCTTATAGAGGCCAGAACTTTTGTAGCTTTAAAAAAATTTGGTAAATACATGAGTAGATGTGGGGGGGTGTGAGTTGACGATGCTTGGGCTCCCGGTTGGTTGCCTGTTCCTCCCTTAGTCAATGGACCGACCTGACTAGGTTGGGGGGCTTGGGTTAAGCCGGGGAGGAGACTTTGGACCTGCCTCGCATGGGCCAGTAGGCCTTCTGCAGTGTTCCTTCGTTCTTATGTTCGTTCTTATAATTTTGTAATATTTTAAACTTAAGAAATGCCTAGCCATGCTAGGTGTTCTAGTGGTACACTCTGTAATTATTTTACTAAATGTAAACCACACAATAACCAAATTCTGTAAACTCAGCATTGTAATCCTTAAAGAGAATAAATTTTGAATTTGAATAAATTATAGCCCGAGATAGGATAGATAACAGCAGAGTGTAATTTTGGTTCCTGTAAGCAAACACCAACAGGGGAAAACTGGGAAAGCAACATCTGAAGCTCACCCCGATTACCCCTGAGGCCGCGAATATTCCACTGTAAATAGGCCATGATTGGCAACGATAAAGATACCTGAAATCCGAAGGTAAGGGTACCTACGGACTAGAGGGGTTAGAAAAGTCCACATGCGGTGGCAAAGGAAAACGTTCAAGTAGCGAAGGAACAGTGCGTTGTGAAGAAAGGAGTTGCGCAGATGGAGAAGAGGAAAGAGAAGGAACAGAGAGTGGATCAGTGTCCATTGATGGTTTGGTCTCTGCAATATATTCAGAGATTGCTTCAAGTGTTTCGGAGTTCAGAGACGTTGTATGGGAGACAGTATTGGAGATGGAAGGAGGAGGAGTTTGAGTAAAGATCGGAGCTGTAATGGACTGTACCAAGGTAGGGGGGGGAGGAAAGGGTGGAGGGAACTGGAGAAGTGTGGGAGGGGACAGAAGAGGAAGAAACGTGGGAGGGGACAGGGGAGGAAAGCACAGTACAAGGAGGAGGATGAACCTCCACACTTTTAACAGAGCCAGTGAAAGGGGAAGACTCAGGTACAGAGACCAGGAAGGTAAAATGTGGAGGTGGATGAAGAGAAGGAGGGGTTAAAGGAAATTTTTGGGGCCTCTGAGAAGTAGAGGGACGATTGGGAGGTGTCATACGAGGTCTTGTTGATACCGGGGTTTGTGAGGGAGGACACGAAAAAGTGAGGACAGACTGAGGAGTTGAAGTTGAAGTAGGGACGTCTGAGCCCAGGACAGCAAAAGAATTAGATACAGGAGTGACTATGGGACTGGCAACTGCAGAGGAGGCTGCAGAAGATGTGACCCCAGAAGTGGGAGGACGCTTTGAAACACGAGAATAAGAAACATGGGGCAGTCTCCCTTGGAGGTGGAGATGAGAAACCGCCATAGCATAAGGGAGACCTTCTGCCTCTTTGAGGCAACGAATTTCCAGCTCATTTAAGTAGACTTGGCAACGGCGAGAGTACGAAGGGCAAGCCTCACGATAATTGAGGCAAGAGGGAGTTCGACTGCAAGATGTATTAGAATGGTCATCGGCACCACGGACTGGGCATTCGGCTATAGATCTGCAATATTTTGCTGGGTGGCCAAATCGCCAGCAATTCCTACACCGTTGCGGTGTAGGGATCACCTTTCGAACTTGTAACCGATGTCCTGCTACATAAACAGAGGATGGGAGTTCACGGCTGTCAAAAGTTAAACGAGCCACATTGCAAGGGTATCGTCTTCGCCCGCGGGCAGGAAGAACATAAGTGTCTACCTTGAGAATTGGGAGATCTTGGAGTTCCAGCATGTCAGTGCCACGTGTCTGAAAATTCTGTAGGACTATGGTATGGGGCAGAATAACAGTACCACTACAAGAATTGAGGGAATGATGTTTTTCGATAGTGATAGAAATAGTATCGATATGTAAAAGAAGAGAAAGATCATGAGCTTGAGTAGAATTCTGGACTGTGATGATGCACGTACCACTCTTAAGAGCATGAAATATCTCTACCAATGTGGCGTAGGAGCGCTTTGCCAATACTATGGTCGGAAAGATAGGCAGTAGAAGAAGTCAGTCTTAATGTAAAGAATTTAGTCCATTGTGTGGTCTGAAACTGAGTGTGGAGAGGGAGTGCATGACATGTCGGTCTTTTCCGAGTAGAAAGGGAAGGTAACGAAGTAACATCATTAGGAGATTGTCGTTGATATTTAGAAGTGGGACCAGAGTCGGTCCGATGTGGGACGGGCTGGCGATTCGAAAATCGCCGCACCGTAGAGGGAGAAGCCGGAAGCATAGTCAAAGGAGAGCGGAGGTCAGACAAATCGAAGGAGTCAGTGGAAGCCCCAGTACCTGAAGCGGGTGAGGAAATAACACCAGCAAGAGGTACAGGGGCCTTAGGAATGTCCGAAGAGTGGCCAAAAGACGAGGCGAGGTCAGAACTGGGTGCGGTAGCAATAAGGGGCCCGGGGGTTGCGGGGTCATGGATCGGGTACTCCATGGTTAGGTTACTTCTTTTTGTTTTTTCTTAAAAAGAAAGAAGAAAAGAAAATAAAAATAAAAAAAGGGGGGACCAGGGAGGGATACTTCCTAGGAGGAATGAAAGGGCCAGAAATCTCCCTCCGTGCCCAAGAGGACCTCAGCACCGCAAGTAGCGCAGATGCAGCAATCCGGGATAGCAACCTCACATCTGCCGAGCTACCTCGGTGGACAAAAGAGGGCGGCCGGATATCCGCCACAAAGCATACCTCCTTCGGCCACCACCCCTGGAATCCAAAAGGTGGCTTCCAGAGATACACCCGTCGCCCGAAAGACACCCTCCGGGATACCGGAGAGGGATCGGGACATCCCCAGGTGATCCAGATTCCACGGCAAACTACGCCACCGCCAAGAACCTCAATGGAATGGGATGGACCCTGGTACCCTTTCCCCTACCCAGGAACTAGCCCGCCTGTGGGAAAAATCCCAAAGGCCAAAAAAGGGAGGGGTGGGGAGGAGGAAAGGAAAAAGGGGAGAATGGGATAGGGAAGGGGGGGTAATTAGGTTCGGTCTGAGGAAGGAGACCGACAGGTCTAATTCCTCAGGCCAAGAGCCTCTTCACCACGCCAAGGAGCCCCCCTTGAAGAGGATTAAATTGGTAGGATGATTCAGCTCCTTGGGAATGGGAGGCAATTAGGTTTGATCCAAGAAAATTCCAATTCCCTGGATTAAGAGCCCTCAAAATACTAGAACCATTTTAATCATAGTTATCAACTTGCTTAACGCTACCACTACCAATTTGCTAATATGGCGAGTAATATAGTCATGTTGAACATCTCATTACACTGCAAGCAAACAACACAAAGGCAAGTCACTGGCCATTACCCACAGTAAAATATTATTTTTTAGAATATTCATGGAGAAAGTGCTGAACCAGTAGGAGTAAGTGCCTGGGGAGTGGAAAGTAATTCAGGTCAATCCAAGGAAAAGGGGGGTAACTCGTTCCTTGAATCAAAACCTTTCACCAATAGAATGGCACTCCCTTTGAAGGGCCCTTGAATCAAACCTGAATGCCTATTCTCTAGGTGCTATATGATTATTGTGGATTTAGCATTTGTACCTTGATTAAAATGGATAAAATTACATTCATGGAGAGTGCTAAACCCTTTCCTCCTTTTGATGCTGGGTCACCTTAGCACAGTGGCAGGGGTTGTGACACTTATGCCTAAGGGATGGGTCCTCTTAAGTTGGCATTGTTGGGATTGTTTAATCCATATTCCAAGGAATTGGACATGGGCTCCTCTCCTTGGATCAGATTCTGAATATCTCCCATTCCCCCAGGTGATGTATTATATACAATCTGATCCAAGGAGAGGAGCCCATGTCCAATTCCTTGGAATATGGATTAAACAATGCCAGCTTTAGAGGACCCATCCCTTAGGCATAAGTGTCACAACCCCTGCCACTGTGCTAAGGTGACCCAGCATCAAAAGGAGGAAAGGGGAAGAATACAGTTTTACCACACACTGTTTTAGGCAACATGAATAATGTTAGAAGCATCTAGGTTAGTGAAAATTAGGAGAAATATGGCAATTTTGCCCTACCTTACAGATGTATAAAAATTTGGTTTACCTGACAGTTTAAATACAAAATGCAATCCCATGTTACTTAAATATTTGTGTAGAATAGTGTATGTCAAAGGTTTAAGTGGTTTAAAAAATGAAGTGTTCAAACACATCTACAAAAACATTTTAAGAAAACTTTAATGACCTTTACAGGTTTATAATGACTTAATTACTACTGAAGTGCTAGTCATTATAATCAAAACTAAGCGCTAAACCCACAAGTGTCATACAGTTCAGTCATAAGAGGCTGTCAATAAATTATATTCACAAGAGTGCCGAACCCCTAAGGACCATAAAACCTACAGAATGGCTGAATACGATGCAAATCAATTAGTTTCTTATATCACAGGTCTCTGTACATAAACTTGGTTAAAGAAATCATGAATAACATTATATTTTTATACAATATCTGTACAATATTTTACATAAAGCTGAACATTCACACTCAAAATATCTAAAATTTCAGAATGCTAAATTTATGACAATTAGATTTAAACCTTTTTGATGCTGTCAACTGAAATAGAAAGCATAAATGTGGGGCCCTTATTTAGGTCTCAAACCTCACTTTAGTGGCGATGAACTTATCTCCCATATCTTTATTGAAGCCCTTGGCATACCTCATGCCCGGTGCCTGTGAAAGATAAATAGCAAGAATGAATGATGGTATAAAAAACAAATGCCATATAACGTAATACTAGTCTCAGTAACTAAGTATTGTAATACTGTGAAATGTGGTATTTACTTTCTCAACCTTTAAATTTTATTTCCTCATTGACTCTCCTGTTGCCCTCTTCCATCACTCTTTAACCTTTCTACCAGCCATGTACAGTAAGGCCCCACTTTTTGCCGTTTCGCCTTACGGCGTTCCGCTAATATGGCAATCTCAAATTATGACCGAAACTTTCTATACGGCAAATGGTCTTTCAAATACGGCGCGCGTCACCCGGTTTGTTTACATTCTCCATAAGCACATCTATTATGTAATAATAATCACTCTTGGGCACATTAAATGTCTAATTTTACGTCCATATAGACATTTTCATTAATCCATCTATGATATTTTCTTCAAAATTATGTAAGAAACACATTACATAACATATAAACATGCTGTTTATATGCTATGGAGGGAAAACATTATGTAATACTAATAATAATCACTCTTGGGCACATTAAATGGCTTATTTTATGTTAATACATATAGACATTTTCATTAATTTATTTTTTCTTCAAAATTATATAAGAAACATGTTACATAACATATAAACATTTTATGTTTATATACTAAGGAGGTATGGTAGCCAGGTGGAGGGAAAACATTACGTCACTCCTCTTAATACATAACACTTTTGTTTATAATTCAATGCATGAATTATTCATTACTTCTCCATTTGTTTATGATGGCATCTAAAGGTAGTTGATAGAAACGATTAAACTCAGTTAACATGGTATGTCAATGGTAATGTCTCTCTGAGCCACATTAAATATCGTGTAGCTATGTAGGTAGGTGTAGGTATGTAGCCCAGGCGGATTACATACCTACATTATTGTAACTGATAATTATACGTATGTGTACCTGTACCTAAGTAAATTTACACACTGTGCTGGCATGTAGGTACACTTTAAAATCACTAAGTGTGCCTTATTATCATTATTAATATGGGGTCTTCAAGACTAATAAGATAATACTCTAAGGAGCATTAAATATATAAAACGTTAATATAGACATTTTGCTTAATCCATCTAAATACACCTGACAGTAGAATAAATTAACACATATGAGGTGTGGTAGCCAGGCAACTTGTAGGACTTGTGGTAGCCAGGCAGCTTGTAGTCCAACATCAGAGAAAATGTGTCACTATAATATTATTGGGGATAACTAGAAAATTATTCCTTTTGTATGCCATCACTCAGGGTGTCATTTCTTCTAAAAATGGTGTTACATGAGAATGGGAATGTTTCTCTTTATTTATTCTACTGTATCAACGTGGAGACAACTTGTACACAATGTAGTGACGAAAACCAGACGTATTCGTCTGGCTTGTTTACATTATGTGTGGGTGGGGTTGGGAGGGCTGCCCTTCCTGGCTACCCATACTTCCCAACCTGACTTCATACAAATAAAACTCACCTCTCACCCTACATTAATTAAGATTACAAATATTTTAAGGTAATTAATCAGTGTACTATACATGCATTTTATCGCTCTAGGGAGCTTAATGTCGTAGTAGGTATAAGTGGCCAGGCAGGATGCCATACCTCCCACACGACTTTCTACAAATAAACACTTTTCACCTCTTACCTTACACTAAGACCATTAAGACTACAAATATTTTAAGGCAAGTAATACGTGTACTCTATATGCATTTCATCGCTCAAGGGAGCTTTAAGCATCGTTGTATAGTATGAGTGGGTGGGGTGGCCAGGAGGGCTACCACACTTAACTTCTTAGAGTAAATATGTACTACTTGCCTTTTGCCCTACATTAAGACTACAAATATTTTGAGGTAAATAATGAGTATACTGTGTGTGTATTTTACTTTTTAATGCCTAGTTCTATTACTAACTTAAGATATGTTAGTGTAAACTTGTTATCTGGCATTTATATGCATTTATAAATATAAAAAAAATGGTGTTCTGCTTTCTGGCGAAGTCTGCTTTCCAGCAGTAGCCTGGAACCTAACCTGCCGAATAAGTGGGGCCCTACTGTATATACTCAAGCCTTCCATTTATCACTTCTTACAGTATAAAAGCCTTTCATATGCTATTTTCTTCCCTACCATCTTTTCCTCACCACTCCACTGATTATTCCTTTCCCACCTACACCCACAAACTTCTGCTGTCCACTCAAGCACTGCATACCTCCCGTGGCTCATTTCCTGTAATCTCTCTAGCCCACCTATCTCTTAACCGTTGCTTATATCTTTCCCTATCTCCTTTGTTATATTCAATGGGGAAAGGGGTACAGCTGCCTTGCACTGAGCTCACAGGGGTCATAATATCCTATGAGAATGGAAGGTAAATATTTAAGTTCACCTGTCAATGTAAGTTCATTTACATTCACTTCCCCTCTTTTTACTCCATCTACTCCTTACTCTTCCTGTAGCCCTGTATGACCCTTGTGGGTTTATCACTTAGCTACAGGAAGATTATTATAATTATAACTATGACTAACGTAGGTAGTAGGTTGGTAGACAGCAACTGTCCAGGGAGGTACTACCGTCCTGCCAAGTGAGTGTAAAACGAAAGCCTGTAATTGTTTTACATGATGGTAGGATTGCTGGTGTCCTTTTTTTCTGTCTCGTGAACATGCATGATTTCAGGTACGTCTTGCTACTTCTACTCGCACTTAGGTCACACTACACATACATGTACAAGCATATATATACATACCCCTCTGGGTTTTCTTCTATTTTCTTTCTAGTTCTTGTTCTTGTTTATTTCCTATCTCCATGGGGAAGTGGAACAGAATTCTTCCTCCGTAAGCCATGCGTGTTGTAAGAGGCGACTAAAATGCCAGGAGCAAGGGGCTAGTAACCCCTTCTCCTGTATAAATTACTAAATTTAAAAAGAAAAACTTTCGTTTTTCTTTTTGGGCCACCGTGCCTTGGTGGGATACGGCCAGTTTGTTGAAAAAAAAAAATCACTAAATCATCTGATATCTGTTGCTCCTATTGTCGGTAATTCTACCAACATTCCAATAAATTATTATTATAATCATTAAGGGCTAAACCCGTAAAGGTCATACAGCACTGTGCTCCTCTAAGAACATGCACAATGTACGTCCAGAAGTTTACCCATTAACCTTTAACTTACTAATGGTCTAACAAACTGCCATCATTGTACCTTATATTATGAATACTTATTTATCATCTCTCTTTCAAAGTACAACTTATTTCCAATCCCTTTTTATACATAATTTAAATATCTTTCCAAATGACACTCATGTGATTAAATTAAGATTAACATTAAAACAGCAGTGCCATTCTTCTAATTGTAAAAATTTAACTATGGCAGCAAAAAATCTAAAAGCAATGCAAGTCTGAAGTAAATAATAGTGTTTCAATGAACCAAGAAACTGAAAAGGGGGTATTAAATATTGTCTGTTCAGATAATACAGTATTCCTATTTGGGTTGCTAAGGCAACCCAATTTTCAACTTAAGGTCTTACAAGCCAAACACACATTCTAAGTTTCTTGACCAATTTGTACAAATAATGAACCCACCACACATGCACGAAAAGAGAACATACAAAATATGAATCTGTTATAGTTCTGAACATCATTGCCTTTGTGGCCCAGTCTCACACCAGGCCACCTAAAGGGACAGATTACATGAATACGAAAATAAAGTACAGTGGTCCCTCGTTTTTCATAATTAATCCGTTTCTGGAGGTGCTACTATTATCGAAATCTACGATTTTCGAATCAATTTTCCCCATAAGAAATAATGTAAATACAATTAATCCGTTCCTGACACCCAGAAGTATCAACAATTTTTTTTACCTTTACCTAGCTTATAGATTTACATGCAGAAAAGAATGCCAAATAAATGTAAAGCACTAATAAAATGTATAAATGAACATTGGGAATAAGGGTAGTTGACGAGTGGAATGGTCTGCCTAGTAGGGTGATCAAAGCTAAAACATTGGGTAGTTTCAAATTCAAGTTGGATAAATACATGAGTGAGAGGGGTTGGTTTGAATCGGTCTTGCACATGAGTAAATAGGTTTATCAAAGCTTATTGCTTGGGTATAGTAATGCTGTTAGTGGGTTGGATTTGTGAAGGACTGGCCTAGTATGGGCCAACAGGCCTATTGCATTGTTCCTCTTTTATGTTCTAAAAGCTATGGCTTGGGTAGTTTCAAATTTAGGTTGGATAAATACATGAGTGAGAGGGGTAGGATTTGAGTCGGACTTGCACCTGAGCTTATTGCTTGGGTAGCATTTGTTCTGTTAGTGGATTGGATTTGTGAAGGACCTGCCTAGGCAGGTCCTACTTTCTTAAGTTCTTATGTTCTTATTTAACATCACACTTACCAGTAGGGTGATTGAGGCTAGGACCTTGGGTAGCTTTAAGAAGAGATTGGACAAATATACGAGTGGGAGGAGCTGAGTTTGATTTGTGTCATTGGGTACGGGAGTTAATTCTTGGGTAGCTTTGGGTAGAGGTCATTTTGATAAGGACCTGCCTTGTATGGGCCAGTAGACCTGCAGTGTTCTTCCATTACGTTCTTAGTGGGAAGGATTGTAAAGAAGGACCTGCCTAGTATGGGCCAACAGGCCTACTGCAGTGTTCCTCCTTTCTTATGTTCTTATTGGAAACTTGTTTGTTTGAGGGAGGGATGGCAAGTTTATTGTTGGAGAATATGACAGTAATATCAACTCTATAGCTTATTTATCTATCAGAATTCAACTAATATGACATAATAAACAATATTAATAACATAGAAACATGGAATATACTCTAGAATGAATAAAATAAGTCATTATGTATGTCACGAGAGGTGTTGTGTTGTGTTGTTGTTTCGTATATAAGGGCCACTGAGAGTAAGCCGTCCATAATGGTGGTGAAGCAGCAGCTGAGGCGGCGGTGTTTTCTGTAGCCCTATATAACTCTAACAACATTGGAGGAGTTAGTAGAATTGCTGAATCACTGAAGAAGACACCCTCTACCACCATCACTACCACCTTCTACCACTATTACAACTGCTACCACCATCACTACCACCCTCTACCACCATCAACCTTAAAATGGTATAAAATACTGACAGGTTGTTAGGCAAGACACATATGCAACAGTTAGGTATCTTTATTTCGAAATGTTTCACCTACACAGTAGGCTTCTTCAGTCGAGTACAGAAAAGATGATAGAAGCAGAAAATACTTGAAGATGATGTAATCAGTCCATCACCCTTGAAGTTTTGAGGTGGTCAGTCCCTCAGTCTGGAGAAGCGTATTGTTAAAGGACACAGGTGCAACTAATGTGACATTTTATTGTGGCAACGTTTCGCTCTCCAGGAGCTTTGTCATGCCGATATCAGCTTGACAAAGCTCCTGGAGAGCGAAACGTTGCCACAATAAAATGTCACATTAGTTGCACTTGTGTCCTTTTACTTTACGTATTGTCGATAATTCTACCAACATTATTACAAGAGTATTGTTCCATAGTCTGAAACAATATGGAGTTGTAGTGACAGGATGGAGCCTTATATACCGCCAGGAGGTGAGATGTAGGCCACTAATAGAGGTAAGAATGTAGTCGTTGGGAGGTCAGGTCCCTCTCAAATCCAGCTATTCTCACTAGTAGAAGCTGTCCAATTTGATTTCAGGTCTGTACCAAGATACCTTTGTGTTGCAGTGTCTGATGGACTGATTACATCGTCTTCAAGTATCTTCTGCTTCTATCAACTTTTCTGTACTCGACTGAAGAAGCCTACTGTGTAGGCGAAACGTTTCAAAATAAAGATACCTAACTGTTGCATATGTGTCTTACCTAACAACCTGTCGGTATTTTATACCATTTTAATGTTCACTCTGTCAGACACTGCAACACAAGGGTATCTTGGTACAGACCTGAAATCAAATTGGACAACTTCTACTAGTGAGAATGGCTGAATTTGAGAGGGACCTAACCTCCCAACGACATTCTTACCTCTACTAGTGGCCTACATCTCACCTCCTGGCAGTATATAAGCCTCCATCCTGTCACTTCAACTCCATATTGTTTCAGACTATGGAACAATACTCTTCTCCAGACTGAGGGACTGATCACCTCAAAACTTCAAGGGTGATGGACTGATTACATCGTCTTCAAGTATCTTCTGCTTCTATCAGCTTTTCTGTACTCGACTGAAGAAGCCTACTGTGTAGGCAAAACGTTTTGAAATAAAGATACCTAACTGTTGCATATGTCTTGCCTAACAACCACCATCAACCACAACTGCTTCCACTCTACCACCACCACCTTCATATTTTTCTACAAACTTTTTCTTAAATTATATGTGTGTTTCTCACATTCTTTACCAAAGGGCTGGCACTAGAAGCTTTCTTTGGAGCCATGGTGACTTATTTAGCAGCTGCAAACACTAAAACGAATGGAATATTATGAAATGTATCTTATGAACTCGTGAGATCATCCTCACTCACTGATAAACAATGGCACACTGGCTGGGAATGGAGTGTGAGGCGGCTCGGGGCTGTGTGTACCTGTCCCGGACGAACTACTATTTGCGAGTCAATCTACGATTAGCGAGCCCATGTTTTTACGAAAATATCGCTACGATTTCCGAAAAGTACAACTCTCGAGCCCTACGATTATTGAGGGACCACTGTACATGAATACATTATTATCACCATAGGAGAGTGCTAAACCAGTAGGGATTATACAGCAACTGTGGGGGGATGGGGGAAGGCATTTAGGGAATTGGAAGACATATATCAATGATCTTGATGAGGGAATTACTAGTGATATGAGCAAATTCGCCGATGACACAAAGATAGGTAGGATAATTGATTCAAACGTAGATGTTATGGAACTTCAGGAGGATTTAAACAAACTCTATTCTTGGTCAGAAAAGTGGCAGATGCAGTTCAATGTAGATAAATGCAAGGTTCTGAAGCTTGGGAGTGCCCATAACCCTAGTACTTATAAATTAAATGATGTAGAACTTAGCCATACAGATTGCAAAAAGGACTTGGGGGTTATGGTGAGCAGCAACCTTAAACCAAGACAGCAATGCCTAAGCGTACGTAATAAGGCAAATAGATTACTGGGATTTATATCAAGAAGTGTAAGCAACAGAAGTCCAGAGGTCATACTGCAGCTTTATACATCTTAGTAAGGCCTCACCTAGATTATGCAGCTCAGTTCTGGTCTCCGTATTACAAAATGGACATAAATTCGTTAGAAAACATTCAGCGTAGGATGACTAAATTAATACATAGCATTAGAAATCTTCCTTATGAAGAAAGATTGAAGACTCTTAAGTTACATTCACTTGTTAGACGAAGAATGAGGGGAGACCTCATCGAAGTGTATAAGTGGAAGATAGGTATTAATAAAGGGGATATTAATAAGGTCTTGAGGATGTCTCTCCAAGAGAGAACCCGCAGTAATGGATTTAAATTAGATAAGTTTAGATTTAGAAAGGACATAGGAAAGTATTGGTTTGGAAATAGGGTAGTTGATGAGTGGAACAGTCTACCTAGTTGGGTTATTGAGGCTGGGACTTTGGGTAGTTTCAAATCTAGGTTGGATAAGTGCATGAGTGGGAGGGGTTGGATTTGAGCGGGACTTTCACATCAGAGCTTATTTCTTGGGTAGCATTGAAAATTGGGTTGGGCAAATGTTTTGTTAGTGGGATGAATTGTAAAGGACCTCCCTAGTATGGGCCAGCAGGCCTCCTGCAGTGTTCCTCCTTTCTTATGTTCTTATGTTCTTATGTTAAATCAACAGCCTCTCACCAGCATCAAGGAACTTCCCTTGAGGGGATACTTCATTAAATATAAGTGCTGTAGTTTGTAAATTTACCTGCCATCTTACATGTCCATGACACAGAAAGAAAAAACTAACAATCTTTCCAGTATGTAAAACATTTAACAAATATTAATTTTCCAAATGCAAATCCTGCTCTTAGGACAATGGCTGCGAAGTATTTCTTTCAATATCAAGAAACAAAATGCATTTGCTTTGTGTGAGAAATTCAATGGAGTCATTTTCAGAAGTCAATGGCTGGAATAGCGTCCTAATTTGGTTCAGCAGCCATATGTCTTTAACCCATTGACTGTTTACGTCGTATATATACGTCTTACGTGCCACTGTTTCTGACGTATTTATACGCGTAAATTCTAGCGGCTTCAAGTCAAGCAGGAGAAAGCTAGTAGGCCCACATGTGAGAGAATGGGTCTTGTGTGGTCAGTGTGCACCACATAAAAAAAATCCTGCAGCATGCAGTGCATAATGAGAAAAAAAAACTGACCTTTTTTTTTTGGATTAAAACGCCGACTTTCAGGTGTATCTTCGTATAGTATTTATCGTTGTATTCTTGTTTTCATGGTCTCAGGTGATAAAATGGAAAACATATTACAGAAATAGAGATGATTTTCATTACTGTTATGATGAAAACGACCTCGAAATTGAGCTCAAAGTAGCGGAAATGTTCAGTTTTTACCAATGTTCAGGATTAAGCAAATTACACCACACGTCCAATATACGTCAACTGGGGAGTCTAATATTCTTTCACTATTGCACTGATATTATTTATACCATTTTTACAATAATGCGGTAGTCTGCATAACAAAAAATTTTGTATTTTTTGTATGAATAAAAAATTAAAATAGAAAGCAATAGTAATATAAGAGGGACCTAGAGACATGACTAATGAACAGAGTATATGTTATTTTAGTGCCAAGAATGTCTACATTGTTTATTCTGGACCCTATTTTGAAATTGGCATCTTTTTTAATTTGCATGAAATTGGCCAAATTGCCAATTTCTGACCACTTTATTAGGTAGTTCAAATTGGTAAATGGGCGGTTTCTTGTACTCAACTGATAGAAAAAATGGAGTTCTAAATAAATAGCTATGAGGTCGGTCAACTGGAACAACGGAATTGGCCAAAAACACGGCTCAAAGTCAACGAAATTGCCGATGCGTATATGTCGCCGAGACCGCTAACTTCACGGGAGCGTAATTCCGTGGGTTTTCGACCAAATTTCGTACTTTTAGTGTCATTACCACCGGGAAAAGATTCTCTATCATTTCATAAGAAAAAATAATTTTTTTTCCCCCAAAACTTTTGTGACATAGAATGACAGTTTCAGAAAAGGGCTTATGACAGTCAAAGGGTTAAACATTACTCTAATAATATAGACAAATCCCTAAGCTACTATGATCCACTAAATACACATTAATTCAACTACAGTGCTGTATGACCCTTATGGGTTTAGCACTTAGTTATGACTGTAAAAATTACAATACCTATGGTCAAGCAAAAGCCAAGTACACTTAATATCTACACCATCAAGATCTGCTTAAAACATAGTTCTTACTCTACTAACAATTCAAATGGTATTATTCACCAAAAATGTTAATTATTCACTGAACATATAAACACAGACATAATTAACATTCCAGAGTTAAAAAATTTGGCAAATATTAACTGATTAAAAAATTAAAAAGCATACAAAGAGCATAGAAAACATAACACTACAAAAATAAGGCAGCAAAATACTTACGGAATACACAACATCATTATATATCTTGACATCCTGGCCCTCTACTAACAATTCAGGAACATTTATGCCTGGGACATTCATCCACTGCATGATGACACGTTTCAACTTTGTATACCTTCATGGGTTATAAAAAATATGTTAGAAAACATTACATAAATTGCTAAAAATGACAAATCACTGTGTATTTGAACTGTGATGTCCATGCACTTCTGAAGACAACTGGGGAGGGGAATGAGTGATAGTGAATGTTTCCCACTCTGAGTCACCCAATCTTGGATGAAAATTCAGATACATAAAAACATACATCAATCAATTTTATGTTTAATCCTACTTTCCATTTGCTCTTAAGATTGTTATTTTTTGGTTGAATTTTTCTGCAAATGATCACTATTCTATATCGATCTTTTAACTTATCCATGGAGGCAAAAATGGGAATGTATCAAAGTACAATGCTATATGGGGGTGAAGAATGGGTTTTGAACGACGCACTGGAGATCTCGTGTTTGATAGCAATGTGTGGTATGAATATTATGCAGATAATTCAGAGCTTGGAGATTAGAAGGTGGAGGGGGGAGGGGGTGTTACCATTATTATTATTCAGAAGGCAGAGAATAGGTAGAGGTGGTATGGATATCTTGGCTATGGCATTTAAATCTGGGGTGGAGGGAAGGAGAGGAGAGGAGTCATCCAAGGAAGTTTTAGAGGGAGGTAGAAGAGGTTGAGTGCTAGGGGCTTGGACAACCAACAGGCTTGTGTAAGCCTGTTAAATAGAAGTGGAAGCAAGTGGTTTTTCTTATCGACATGCTGCTGGAGCAAGGTAACATCGTGAAGGGATTCAGAGGAATCAGTTGGCCGGATAAGAGTCCTGGAGGTGGGAAGTACAGTGCCTGCACTCTAAAGGAGGAGTGGGATTGCTGCAGTGCAGAAGGTTATACAAGTTGTGATGTCAGTTAACTTGTGGGAGGACAGTGACTGAAGGAATTAGTTTTTTGGGGGAGGGGGGGGAGTGCCTACCACAGTGAGAGATAGCTGGTATAGGAAAAATAATTTTCACTCTTCTTTTTCTACTCCACCTCTTGCATTGCAACACTTCTTCACTATATCAATATAACAAAAAAGGAAGCACAACACATTCTTTGTGTGGCAGTTGTGACCCCTGACAACTCTTTCCAATATGTCAGTTTGTTACATTTAATTATCAATTTCACATGGAACATTAAAGATGCATATTTCCATTTAATAACGTTCTGATCCCTCACCTTGGGATTAAGCTCAGTGTATACACATATATATATATACACCTCTTAAAGGTTTTCTTATTTTTAGTAATCTATACAGGAGAAGGGGTTACATGCCCACTGCTTGTGGCATTTTAGCTGGCTTTTACAACACACATGGCTTACAGAGGAAAGATTCCTATGAAAGGAAATAATAAGAACAAAAACTATTATGATAAAATCAAAAAGAAAACTCAGATGAGTGCATATACATAAGTGTGTACATGCATGTGCAGTGTGACCTAAGAGTAAGTAAAAGTAGCAAGATACACCTGTTATCTTGTGTGTTTAACCCTTTCAGGGTCACAACCCCTGCTCTCACACTTGCTCTCAGGGTTGCAAATTTAAAAATAAAAAAATTCTTATGAAATGGCAGAGAATCGTTTTCTGAAGGTAATAAAACAAAAAGTACAAAAGTTGGTATAAAAAACTGATGAAATTACTCTTTCACAAATTTTTCTGTGTCAGCAATACAGTGGACCCCCGCATAACGATCAGCTCCCAACTCGACCAGTTATGTAGGTGTATTTTTGTAAGTGCTTTTGTAGGTGTATTTTTGGGGGTCTGAAATGGACTAATCTAATTCACAATATCTCTTATAGGAACAAATTCGGTCTATAACGGCACCCAAACAAACTTCTGGATTGAAATAATATCCTTATGCGGGGGTCCACTGTATTTACACATCAGCGATTTCCTCCACTCTGAGTCCAATTTTAGGCCAATTACATTGTTCCAGTTGACCAAATTCTTAACTATTTCATCAGTATGTCTTCCATTTTATCAAATGAGCACAAGAAATCACCTAATCAACTATCTCAACTACCCAATAAAGTGATCAGAAATAGGCAATTTGGCCAATGTCACACAAATTTCAAAATATTCCAGTTTTAAAACAGGGTCCAGAATAAACAATGCAGGCATTCCTGTCACTAAAATACTGGTTTTCTCTGTTCATTATGTTTCCAGGCTTTACACATGAATTCCATTTAGAATTTTATTCACGCAAAGAATTTTTATTCACACACAAAATAGAAGATATACTGTTATGCAATATTGTAATAATTGTATAAATAATATCAGCGCATTTGTGAATGCATATTAGACCCACCAGTTGACTCGATTTGTTTAATCTTGAACATGAGCAAAAATTGAACATTTCCATTAATTTCAGCTCAATTTCAAGCTATTTTTAGTCCTAAAACCAACCAAAATCATCTCTTTCTGTAACATATCTTCCAGTCTATCAAATGAGACAAAAAAAAAAAATTACAACCATAAAAATCATACAAAATACACCATAGAGCTGCTATTTTAAACCAAAAACAGGGTCACAGTTTTTTTCCCCATCATGCACTGCTTTCTAAAGGATTTTTTTTATATGGTGCACACTTACCCCATATACCCATTCTCTCGTATCTAGGCTCAAATTTACTGCTCACAGCTTATCTGAGCAAGCCGAGCTCATGGCATAGCGCTACAGGACCAACAATGGCTTCAAAACCATAGTGGAATGGGGCCGACCTCGAAAGGATTACTAGAGAGAAGAAAGTCACAAACACTCCTACCATCGAGTAAAACAATTACAGGTTTCCAAGTTACACTCATCTGGCAGGACAGTAGTACCTCTCTGGATGGTTGCTGTCTACCAGCCTACTACTGTTGCACTGTGAGCAGGGAAATATTTTGTAAAGGGATTCAGGGAAACCGGTTAGTCAGACTTGAATTCTGGAGGTGGGAAGTACAATGCCTGCACTTTAACCCTTTGAGAGCCCATCCCCAAGTTCTATGGCTTTGAAGACACGGTCCAAGCCGCAGTTCTACGCCATGAGCTCAGCTCACTCACATAAGCTGTGAGCGGTAAATTTAGGCCTAGATATGAGATACCTTTGATATACCTTTGAAGAGTTTCGAGAGTTAATCTACTCTCTGAGCCCAGCCATGGGCCAGGCTTGTCTGGTACATCTGTGTGTTAAGTGTGCACCACATAAAACAAATCCTGCAGCAAGCAGTGCATAATGAGAAAAAACTACAACCGTATTTTTGGATTAAAACAGTAACTTTGAGGTGTCTTTTAATATGTATTTTACAGTTGTATTTGCAGTTTCTTGGTCTCATTTGATAAAATGGAAGATATATTACAAAAATAGAGATGATTTTCATTGATTTTAGTACTGAAAATTACTTGAAACTAAGCTCAAATAGCAGAAATGCTCAATTTTTGCCGATGTTCAAGAGTAAACAAATTACGTCACGTGTCCAATACACGTCAGCTGGTGGGTCTAATGTGTGTTCACGAATGCGCTGATATTATTTATACAATTATTAAAATATTACATAACAATAAATCTTCTATTTTTTGGTGTGAATAAAAATTCATTATGTGAATAAAAAATCAAAGTGGAATTCATTTGTAAAGCCTGGAAACATAAATAATAAACAGAGGAAACGTTATTTTAGTGCCAGGAATGCCTGCATGGTTTATTCTGGACCCTATTTTGAAACTGAAATATTTTGAACTTTGTGTGAAATTGGCCAAATTACCAATCTGGCGATTTCTTGTGCTCAGTCGATAAAATAGAAGCAATATTAGCAAAATAGCTAAGAATTTGGCTAACTGGAATAATGTAATTGGCCTAAAATGGGCAAAATCATTGATGCATAAATATTGCTGATGCAGCAAAATTCACAAGAGTGTAATTTCATAAATTTTCCATCAAATTTTGTACTTTTTGTTTTATTACCTTCAGAAAAAGATTCTCTACCATTTCACAAGAATAAATAAAAAAAAAATTTTGAAAATTCTTGGACCCTGTGGACAAGTTTCAGATTGGGGGTCTGGACCCTGAAAAGGTTAAAAGAAGGGTTTGGGATATTGGCTGTTTGGAGTGACATCTAAACTGTTATATCTGGGCACCTCTGCAAAGACAGTGACTGTGTGTGAATGATGGTGAAAGTGTTGAATGGTGAAAGTGTTGGTGGGAGACAGCCGGCACGTTAAAAAAAAAAAAAAGTGAGGATAAATCAGTTGGTGGAGAGATGACTACAGGACAAGTCACAGGAGAGACGAATCAAGGGTGAAGAATAAAAAGTTGCAAGGCTTACAATGTGCTTTGATCCACAAGATCATACACATAAGTTACATATGATATACACTCAGGCCTGCAAGTCAAAACTACAGAGCAGAAAAAAAAAAAAACATTTAAACCAACCAGCAAAAAAAGGTAAATATTACTATGTTTAAATAAAATGCATAAATTGAAAACTCATTAAAACAGATGTCAAGGAATATCAGGAGATGGAGGGCAAAAGAACAGTCACTGAAGAGAAATGAAGTAAGGAAGAATCACTGGAAAAACAAATGAAGGAAAGTATGGAGATTCATTCCTTGTGGAAATAATGCCAAAGAATAGTTTTGAAAACAGAAGTACATGTACATTATAACAAGCACAAAAATGAGCGCAGACTGAACGACTTATCCAAGTGAAATGAATTAGCCGTTTTAAACAGAAGTTATCAAGAGGCAATTCCAGAAGAATGTTTGCAAATTCTGCCCTTTGATGCAATGGATACCTTTATTAATGAAAACATTTTGCTCAAATGGTAGGCCTAATCAACTTTATCACTGATCTGACAAAGACTACTGTGTGGGCAAAATGTGGCCATTAACTCACCTCATCAGTGTTTACATGCCATTCCTATTAAAAATTGTGCCCTTATTTGACAGACTGACAAAGCATTCATACACTCTGTATTTATTCAAGTTAAAGGCACATAAATGAAGTGACAGGTTACCAAGTGTTTTAGCATCATCATTGCAAATAAAAGGGATACTAAT